GTACAATGCCTTACCTGGTACCTCAAATCTAAGAACCGTGCATATATTACCTGTTCAGTGCCTTACCTGGTCCCCAGACTTAAGAGCCGCACAATTATTACCTGTACGGTACCTTACCTGGTCCTCAACCCTAAGAGCCACACAATTATTACCTGTACGATGCCTTACCTGGTTCCAAAATCTAAGAGCCGTGCATATATTACCTGTACGGTGCCTTACCTGGTCTCTAAACCTAAGAGCCGCGCAATTTTTACCTGTACGGTACCTTACCTGATCCCCAGACCTAAGAGCTGCACAATTTTTACCTGTACGGTACCTTACCTGGTCCTTAAACCTAAGAGCCACGCAGTTTTTACCTGTACGGTACCTTACCTGATTCCCAGACCTAAGAGCCGCGCAATTATTACCTGTACAGTGCCTTACCTGGTCTCTAGACCTAAGAGCCGCGCAATTTTTACCTGTACGGTACCTTACCTGATCCCCAGACCTAAGAGCCGCGCAATTTTTACCTGTACGGTACCTTACCTGGTCCCCGAGACCTAAGAGCCGCGCAATTATTACCTGTCCCCAGAGCTAAAAGGCTAAAAGTTATGCAAATATATTCAAGGAGGCTTAAATTGTTAAGAATCAAAATCTCCTTGATATAATTTTTAACGTTAACTGTTACCTATATGTAGTGTTAGCTGGTCCTCAGAGCTTAAATTCCCTCAGATATGATCTGAACTGTGCTTTTCCTTGTCCCCAGAGGTAAGAGCAACACAAATGCAGTGAATATAGACGTAAAAGTTGACGTTTTTGCAGGTAAATCGAGGGAAAGACGCAGGTAGCCCTCCCCATACTACCGAAACTGAGGTATTGCTGCAGCATATGAGTAGCAGTCCAGTGTCCTGACCAATAGCAGCATGGCTGTTCATCGTGGCTGCTCTGTGGAAATTTGAGCTGGCGATACCTCTGTACCGGGATGATTTGGATGACCCTCCCCTCTCCGGGAGGTTTATGACGAACTATTCGTACACGCGGGTTCGCATAACTTTAACAACAAAATTTGTCTTTATAGATTAAAAATGTTGATTGCATTAGGCTTAAAAATCCATTATGTGTATTCTAAGATAACTTGTGACTTTGCAATTATTCAGAAGAATTGATTTTTGAACGCAAAAAGTTTCCCTTATATGTTGGTGACTTTATGTGACAAATAAAGAGCTACTTTTTACTGAACCTAATTTTACGACAATCGTATATTTCCTGCTTTCTCACTATAAAAATAACGTAGATATGTAGATACTTGCTCATATATCAACATAAACATGCAAAATATCCGCAATAACCTGTTGAAATCATTATTACAGTGGACTAGACATCTATTTTAGACAGTACGATTTACGGTAACATCTATCACAGTTCAAAGGTCACCAGCTGACTGGGAGTTTTTTTCCAAAAAAGAGACGTGGCGAAACTTTTCCCTGTGTCCAAAGCTATTTTACAGCCATTTGAGAAACGGTAAGCTTTGAACAAGTACGTTATAGTCTAACCATATCTTTGAACTAGGATTTTACTTGAACAATGGAGTTTAGAAAGATAAAGAAACGTACAAATATCTGCTAGCTAGTGTGCTGTGCAATTTCGTCGTGATGTTGCATGTTCTTTCGTTGCATCATATCCACGTCAAAATAGATTTCGTGTGCTGTACAAAACTGTGATGCATAAAGCAGGAACTACTCGCCATGTTCTTACCTTTTCATAGACACCAGAAGTCAGTAGTGCTGCACTGTTCTCAAAACATGCAGGGCAACACGTAGACCAAAATAACGGTCCCTAAGGCCATGTTAATTTTATTGTATGGATGACATCCACGTGTGCATGAATTTTCGTCCGTTTCAAAAATAAAAAAATAAAAAGAGAGAGAGAGAAGTTTTCGACCATACTGTAAGTTGTACAAAGAAGTTGCAAAGTTAACAAATATATTGCCATACATTGCAAAAAAGGACAATGATACTCTGAGCTGAAAGAGCTGAAAATGAAGTCTATTATAATAATTTTGCCATAACATAATCTGTGTGTTTAGTTATTTGCTCAACCTTCATGACCACATAGATTTTATCATAAAGGCAACCTGTTTTGCAAAACTTTTTTTACTTGCACACATGCAGTTTTGGGGTTCCCAGAGGATGTCATCCATGTAATCAAATCAACATGGCCTAATGGTCTGTAATAATGCTCTGTCTATGAACAGGAGATGACGAAGTTACTGCAGTGGTTGTTGGGGGTGGGACTGCTCCTGGGTACGTGGGCATGTCTGGTGTGGGACCTGGTGCCGGCACAGCTCACTCCACAGTGGAAGGAGGTTGTCTGGGTGGTCAGTATCTCTCATGAGTATAAAGTTGATTTTATCTGGAAATTCATAACTTCTTGTGTGGGATTTAAGAAATCATCAGTGGCGCAGCAGTTAGAGCGTTGGACTCGGAACTGATAGGTCCTGAGTTCGATTCTCACCGTACCCCAACACTTTGCCCTTTTGAGAGAAACTTAAAGGCACTTTACAGTACCTTACCTTCCCCAACGGTGGAGTTATGCCCTCCGAGCCTTTTTTGGCTAATCTGTCTAAATGTGTGCCAAAAACACTATGGATTTGGTGCACCAATGTTCCTAGCTAACATGTCAGGGTTGGACAAGTTTTCAAAAATCCACTTGCCGTATCGGGCAAGCACATGGTCATTTCCACTTGCCCGAACCAACTTTTCACTTGCCCAAAATATGAAGTATTTCTATGCATTTTACTAGCAGAAAGGAAATTATTTTATTATGATAGAGTTTATAATATTGGATGCTTAATTCATCAAAATTGTTTGAAACTTGGTCAGAATACTGCAGGGGCTATACTTTGCATCCAAAAAATTTACTTGCCCAATCGGGCAAGCCTAGAGGGATATTCACTTGCCCGAACAGTGCTTTTACTTGCCCTGGGCAAGTGGGCAATGGGACTTGTCCAACCCTGCATGTGAACATTTGCCACCAAGAACTGTAAGATTTAATTTTTTTTCTTTTATCTAAACCTTTTTTTGGCCTGAACTGGTTTGATCCTTTTTTTTTACAGTCAGGAACCTCCTTGTTCCAGTCAGGAACATTTGTTAATTTCTATCTCTCCCCTCCACAGGCACCCATGTATCTTCTCATGAGTTTTGCAGTAAGTATCCTCTACTCATCAGGAAACTTGTTGCAGCCAAGCAGATGTTGGAGAGAGCATTGTGAACGTTCTATCTTATGTCCCATTTTGCTGTTGCTACTTCCACCAATGGGGTTTCCAGAGTGGGAGCCGCAACAGAAAAACGGGGCATATGATAGAAAGTTCACAATACTCCCCACCAACCTCTGCTTGGAAGATTACTAATACTAATAGCTGTGAATGATGCCATAGATCTAGAGCATTATATTAATGAAAGGCATTTACATACAGAGGTATAGAGGCATCCCCTAATATACATGTACATACATGTAATTATTTATGTACAGTCAGTACTATAGTTTACTGAAAGTAGGCCAATCATATATTATTGAGCAATTGATGATATTTTATAAATCCATTCTACATACACATTTTGTAACACTACTTGAGCCTAAACTCACAGGCTGATTGTAACACCTTGTCAAATCAGCACTCTGACACAAGAAGATTTAACTCTAGATGAAATATATTCTAAATTCGAATTCAAGCTACAACATACAATTGCATTGTTTGCTCACTTTGCTGTAAACCGTGTTATCACATAGAATTACAGGTATGTATTCATTTACTAATCCCCACCTTTTTCCTTTATTACAGTGCTACTCATTAGCAACTATTGGCTACAGAGTTGCCACCTTTAATGACTGTGAAGATGCTGCCAAAGAGCTCCAACAGGTCAGAACTCTCATGATGCTTCTTAAGGGCATCTAATATAATTTCAGGGCAGCAAAACAAAACAAAAAATACTCTACATCTAGATGAGGAAATTTGTCTGATATAGATATTTACAGTGCAGTTTCTTAGCACATTTTGTCATCATTTTATATACTTGAAGCATTGGAAATAGCCCCAAAACAAGCTATGTAAGGAATCTCTTTATTTTTGGGTACCACTCATAAATAGCTAAAAGCAGGATGATGCAAAACAAGCTCCGTTTTCCATTAGCAACGTAACATTTTTGCCTTACAGATATCAGTATGCTATGGGATAGGATTGATTCAACAATGACCAGAAAATTGACTTTAAAAATCCAGTTTGCTGCCCTTGAGTTGCATTGAATGCCTTAAATTTGCAATACCCTGTGCTTCAACCTTTTCGTAATATTCTTGTAATCATGAGACAGGTTAAGAAGTCTACATGTTTATCTTGTATTTATGTTTAATGTTGTATTCCATGTCACTCTTACAGGAAATTGAGGAGGCAAGAAGAGACTTGGCTAAGAAAGGCTTGAAGCTTTCCTGATTGGTATTTTTGTAATTATGTTAGATATTTGTTCTACAATGTAATTGAAGAGGACCAAACTACATAGAACACACTGGCAATTGTGTAATAAGTTGACTTTTAATGTATGATATCAATGTCTTTATTTTCTTAACCCTTGTCCTGCGGGGCCCATATATATATGGGTTGTACGTACAGTGCCATCTATATAGTGCCCTGTGTATGTGCGATTTGGGGGTGTTTCTCGTGCAATGCATCACACCGCAGCGAAACGCAACGAATGCGAAAGTAACTACGCCGCCGCAGGGCAAAAAAAGTCAAGGGTCTGTAACCTGATTAAGACATGAAATTATTTAAAAATATTGTGTAAAAATTGCCAGCAGGACAAGGGTTAAGACCTTGCAAAGATAAGGCCTTGATTTAAAGTTGTATCTGATGAAGGCCGTTGGGATGCCAGCTGCATTTGGCAACTTCTTGGTTATCACAATGTAATTCACAGAAATGTAACTACTTTTATAATAATTTGTAGAATCTACAAGACTTAGTGTAAAATATAGTACCTGTTAGGCCATTAACAATATCGTAGATGGCAGCACATTTTTGATAGTATGAACATAAATAAAATGATGCAGCAGACAATGAATTAAAAAACAAGTTTAGCTTCAATATTAAAGCAGTATTGACACTTGACAGTAATTGTAACAAATACAAGCAAAGCAATAACATATTGCAAATATAATTTGAATCTAGAATTATAATGCAGTGAGAATTTTTCTTGCCGTAGACCTTACACACATATGCTCTGGAATGAATGTTGCAGAATTATTGCAGATAAACAAATAATTTATGGTTAATAAAAAGATAGCGCACTATATATCTGTTTTGTATTATCATTCTGATCACTGTGTCAAAATAGAACCTATCACCTTTTTATACACTGTGTCTATGTCATGTTTTATATAATATCTTAAATAGCATCTGTGTGGTACTATAGACATAGCAGATCATAGATTTTCTTATTTCAGTATCATATCAGAATCATATATTATAGATACTGACATTTGCGCACATCTACAAGTATTTGTGATACCTGGAAAATTGTTAGTTTCAAGTGCAGCAAACATCGGATTGGACTCAACTGAGTGTTATATTCAGTAGGTACTAATATGGGAGGCAGCTAGCCTGGAATCCAGTCTTGTCAGCTTTGGTTTGCTTGCAAAGTTACTTCCCTGACACTTTTGGAGCAGACCAAATCTGACAAGACTGGATTCCAGGCTAGAAGGCAGCAGCAGGAAATTTGCAACGTTTTTGTTAGCCACTATAGCCTGACTAATAAGGCTTTCCAATAGACCTATCACATTATTACGTCACAGTTTGTTAACCTGTTCTAAAGAACATTCTAGAACGGTTAGTTAAAGAATAAAGATCATTTCAAAGTCAGGTATGTTTGATTTTTGCTGCGTCTATAGTTTTGTTGACACAGCATTACATGCCGTAATGGGTGATTTAGCTGTGACATTAGACGAAAGTAGTACTGTATCAAAAGCCTTATATTAAGGCTAACGCTACACAAACACACACCGCGCTACGCACCCCTGTACAATATAAACGTTGATTGACCGGCATTCATTGCGGTAAACAAACTGTGACGTAATAATGTGATAGGTCCATTGAACATCAGATCGCTTTGTCTATGTACTAGTTTGGTCAGAACACTTCCCTGTGATATCCAGAAACTATGTACCACCTTAAAGGCATCCAATGCAATTTCAGGGTGGCAAAACAAATATTCTGGATGAGGAAATCTGAACCTAGCTAGAACCAGCCTACGATTCAAAACAAGCAATGGTTTTCCGTCAGCAACATGACATTTTTGCCTCACACTCACAGATATCAGTATGCTATGGGATAGGATTGATTCAACTTACTACATTAAAAGAAAATTGACCTTGAACATCCAGTTTTGCAGACCTGAAATTGCATTGGTTGCCTTTCATGACATTAGCCAGCCCTGAATGATTATTCTCCCCTTTTTTTAGCCTTGATTACACATTGCCCACTAGCAGTAGGGTCTGTGAAAGGTCTACAGTTCTAAAATTGACTAGTGTTCATAGTACTGCGTACCTAAACCCACATTTAGGTTCAAGTCCAGATTCAAGTCCAGAGGTTTAGGTTCAGTTCTGAAATTGTAAGTCTGGACCTAAACCCATGGAATATACAAAATTGCACTTGGCAACCTTGCAATGTTGTCTGTCCGACTTTGGCCACATAACATGGAGCACGTTACTTGATGATGCCCGATGGCAATGTTTTCTTCATTTTGCAGCAAAGATTTTGCAATCTACGGAAGGTTTTAGGTGGTTTGGAAAGAAAAGGGGTATGTGAAATGGTCTTTTATGGTAATAAGTCCGGACTAGGTTCTTGACTTTTAGGTTTTATGGGACTTGAACCTAAACATTCTTACAAGTCTGGATCCAAGTCCAGTGAACCGGTACACAGCACTAAGTGTCCATCAGACCAGGGTTCTAGCGACAAGTCACAAAGTTCCCACAATTGACGGAAAAACGGGTGCTGGCTAGACCCCTGCATCAGACCAAGTCTGACCGTGTGAAGATGTCGGGAAAGTCTGCCCAGATCTGACCAACGATGAACTTGTCTGCTTCTCCTTCCTTCTCCTCCTCCCGCTGGATGGCCAGGAAGCACTGCTGCAGGTCGTCACGGCGATGACGATGCTCGCAGTACGACGTGTTCTTCATGATACTGTGGAACAGGGACAGGTGCTCCGTTCTGATCTGTAGGGGGGGGGGGCAACAATGGGATAACAACGATGACAGAACATAAATAGAAAATATGACTTACAATGTAAAGGCATCCAATGCAATTTCAGAGTGGCAAATAGCATAACTTGTGGGTTGTGTGGCGTAAGGGCAGAGCATTCGGCTCAGAACCAAGAAGTCCCAGAATCGAATCTTGCAAAGTCACCAACCTTGTGCTCTTCTTGGGAAAGGCACTTAAAACAACTTTCCTCACTTTACTCAATTAAAACAGTATGCCAGAATGATCATTATCATCATGAGTGTAGGCATTTCAGGGAAACCACCAACCCAAATGAGGAAATCTGATATTGACATTTATGTCATACCTGGGCCACAATAATGTTCGATACGGGTGTTCTGGCCTGTTTAAGAACTAGCAGTACAGCCCTGGGTTGCATTTGGTTATTACACGAGCTTCCAAATGGGAACAGAATCAAACTTTCTTTCTTCTGCACCTGCCACCATCGCAAACATATATTTTGAACTTTTGCTACCACAAAGATAAAGTGATTTACAGCATGCTATGGGATAGGGTTGATTTAACTTACTGAATGACGAGAAAATTGACTTTAAAAATTTATGCTAACAGTATAATGTGCTTACCTCATCTCCAGGTGGGAGATCCGACACCTGTCTCACTATGATGTCAATCAGAACCATCATGTCAGTAGTGTAGAAGATCCCCGAGGTAACCTCACTCGAGAACACATCAGCAAGGAACTTCAGCAGGGAGTTAGGGGGCCTTGGCTCATGATCAAACATGTGCACTGGGTCATCTGAAAATAACGGAATGTTTTACATAATAAAAACAGAAAATGTAAATCTGTATCTATACATGTATGGAAGGTAAGCAAATGCATAATACATGTATGTATCTTCATGTGTTCTTACTAAAATACATTCTATATAATTATATATAAATACATGGAGACCAGCCCCTTCAGCTCTGTCTTGCTACATAATGTAACACAATACCACAGGGTGTCTGCTACAGCACCAGTTACCATGGTGACAGATGTCTGGTCCAGGTCATTGACCTTTTGTGTTTGTAGAAGAAAAATGAAACAGAGCAAAAGCAATTTGTGTACCTTCTGCAAAGGTAAACATAATAAACATCCCAATTCATATATAGATACAAGATACAAGTCGATCGGTGTAACAAGTCGATCGGTGTGATATAGCCAGCTGCCGCTGCGCGTGTGTTATGCCGAAAGGCGGTTATACCGGCTATACAGATACAGATACATACTTACCTCCTCTGTTTACCAGTAGCATGATTTTCTCACTAAATGTCCTGACATTGCTACTGCTGGCGATGGCTTTCATCACAAGGTTATCTTTTGGGTCTGTAAACAAGAGGTAGAAAAATGTTCAGACTTATTGTACTAGCTAGGTATATATACAAGACCTTTTTTTTTCAAAAACACAATGATAAGTTTAACAGTGTCAGAAAGTAAAAGGTGCTTTGTTTGTCAATTTGTACCATAAAACTCCATGTGTGTTTTATGTCTGTTTTAACTTGTTTATATCTCATGCAAAAGAAGCTTGAATTGCTACTAAAAGTCATGTAAACATTACGCAAGAAACAGTTAAAACAAAAGCATTGCATTATGTAAAACATGTGCACTAATTTGCTGCAATTGCATGTGGGTAATCTATATCTACATGTATCAAATGTGAATACATGAACACCTACCGGGTACATGCAATTTACCTGATTTTACGAGAAATCAATGTGATATACACAAAACGTGCACAGCTTTTGTATGTGTTTTTTTAGATAAGAAATATGCAGCTTTCAATCGCGCTTTGCACGACTTTTCATAACAGTTTGCACTTGTAACAGTCTCCACTTTAAGTGTGGAATTCCACTTTTCCCAGTGTAGATGGGAAGTTCCTAAATATTCAAAATCTGTACAGTAGTTTTTATTTTTGGTTACCTGAGAAGTGTAGGTTGAAGGCCAGGATGAGGTTGAGGAATAGATCAGGCACTTGTTCATGGATATCTCCCTCTGGTGGCTCCTCCACATGAGACAACAGGAAACTTACAAACTCTTCACTCAGGTGTTCTGGGGAGAGAAGGAGTAGTTTTAAGACCTCAGGCCACACCAATTTAATTTCTTGGTTAACGGATTTTTCTAGAAAAATAATGGAGTGGGCGGGAAAAAAAAAAAAAACAGGCCTAGGCATCCTATTATTATGGCCCTAAATGGTACGATAGGAGCCATGAAGTCAACACACCAGGCTGGTTCAAAATTTACACAATGAATTTTGAACTTTTAATGATACCACTGCATTGAAAGATGGAATAACTGTAACAACTGGAAGAAAAGGACTGTTTTCAACTGTTCAGGGCAAAACATGAGCATTTTGCAGTTGATTCTGAATTTTTTTTTTTTGCAAATGAGAAAAAAAATGAAGCGGGCGAATCCGTTAACCAAGAAATTAAATTGCTGTGGCCTCATGACACGAAAATAAGTAGGTATAAGACATATGAATATCAAATACATATTATATAGTAGCTTAAAATGTTCAAGATGACTGAGAGACTAACTTTAGGCCACACCAATTTAATTTGTTGGTTCTTGGATTCGCCTTCTGATTTGAAAAAAAAAAAGATTCTGGTTCTGAATTAACTAAAAAATGCTCACATTTTGCCCCCAACAGTTAAGGATACAGCCTTTTCTTCCTATATATAGTTGTTACAGTTTTTCCATCTATCATGCAGTGGTTTAAATTAAAAGTTCAAAATTCACTGTTTAAATAATAACCCAGCTTTTTGTGTTGGCTCCGTGGCTCCTATCGTTGCAACAGGATGCCTAGACCTGTTTTTACTTTTATTTTTTTTTCGCTTCATATTTTTTCTGGAAAAATCTGAGAAGCAACAAAATTGGAGTGGCCTTACATACACATAAATGTACCATATGTAGTAGATTGAAATGTTTTTAAATCACAATGACCGAGAAAGTAAAGCTTTCCACTTCAGCACCTTTTTTTGCATCCCTATGTTATATTTTTACATTTCTGTGTAAAAATAAAGTACTATTACAGACCATAATGGTGAACAGGTATGGCCTCTCCAGTAGAGAACAGCATAGTGAGCAGCAGGGCTGAGTATTGGAGTTTCTGCAGTGCTGAAATGTATAACCACAAGAAAATGTGTAAGTCTTTCAATCTATAGTTTGAGAAAAGAATTATCTTGGGTATGCCTAATTAGGCCATGTCGATTCAATTATATGGATGACATCCTCTGGGAAGTTGGGAACCCAAGCTTAGAAGTTAGTTAGATTGAACAAATGACTAAACACACATGTATAGTACAGTATGGCGAATAATAGACTCTTCAGTTTCAGTCTTTTTCACATGTTCTTTTTTCTTTTGGAATTGATTGTGGCATTCTACGACATTGGTATCATTTTCCAATATTTTTTGCAATTTACGGCATATATTTGTTAATAGACTATAAAATTTTAACAGTCATCTCTTCCCACATCTTAATGCACTTTTGCATTATTGTCCTTCAAAGATGACAGATTGGGCAAACTTTTTGTCCATCATGAGAGGCAAAATTCTGTTAAATAACAGAAACTTAAGACGGTGGCTAGAACACTCAAAGTACTGCTTTAAAGTGTTGCTAGCTAAAATTATAGTATTACACTGATGAGTAACACCATGTGGTAACTACAAACAGCCATGTTCCATTTCCTGACCTTCCACACTGTCCTGCATGTCTCTGGCCAGTTCCATAGGCAGGATGGAGCACACCAGACATGAGATCACCTCCCTCTCCAGCCCACACAGGCCTGCAAACACCTGCAGGAGGGCCAGCCGGATGGGCAGTCTGTGTTCCTGGGGAGGAACGCAAACACAGGAAACACTAAGGCCACGCCAAAATATTTTGTTGGTTCTCAGACATTTTTAAGATAGGAAGTGGACATCATAAAATGAGGTAGCCTGGGTACCAAACCTTTGGTCGGCTTGGCGGTAATTTTTTAGCCCCGGCCTTTACCAAGCACAGGCGAGTTATTCCACGGACCTATCTCCAGCTGGTTTCCCTGTATCCGCTGACTTCCTGTATTATGCTAAACCTAAAACCCTCCCGAAGCGCGGTAATTGAGGCCTGATTGGCAGCCCCAAACGCTCTCGGCGCCAAAGGGATAGTGCTGAGCTAATGGCAGTTTGGTCAACCAGGCTAAAAATGAGAAGGCTAGGAAGAAATGGATGCATTTACTACATAACACTGAGTCCACAAAGGCATCAACCAGGTCCTCAGACTTTGCTATCATTAGGTTTTTCTAGTTAACTATACATGTATTTTCAAAAATCCGAGAACCAACAAATCAGATTGGTGTGGCCTAAAGTATATGTACAATTGTACATGTAACATTGTGCAGGGCTCGAAATTCATTTTGGGGAATAGCTATATAAAATATAAATATAAAATACCTACCATAGTAGAAGTATCTTAAACGACAAACTTAAGATTTTCTGACAATTAGGTGTCAAGAATGTGCTGTACACTAGCACATTTAATTTCATATCTTTACATAGTATGTAAGCTTACAAAAATATTTGGGAGCATCAGAGCATCCAGTAAAAAATTGAAGCTGTGCACGAAGGTGCAAATGTGTACCCTGAGTAAAAGATTAAAAAGGGTCCTTCCTGGTGTGATGATTCAAACCTTACACAGTCTGGACTTATGTAGCTTGTACTGTACAAAACTGGTGTGTCATTCCTAGAGGTAGTTTACTGGTTATGCAAAAAAAAAAATGTTTTTGTGAGGAAATTAAGTGCCTTACCATCTGGTAGTACTGCACCATGTTGTGTAGAACCTCATAGTTGTTCTTCTGGACTGCCTTTCTACACACTGCAGGCATGGCATTTTCCTGAAACATAGACACACAATTTGATCATTACTGGATAGCCATTAATGTACATGTACAGCCTGATATTGTGACCATGGAACCATCAATACAGGGCTCTAGCCAGCACCCATTTTTCTGTCAATTGCAACACTAGTTATGTGGTGTGTGATGGAAAATTTCTAAACCAATCCGTCAACCTAGACGGACAAAGTTAGCAAAAATCTTGGGTAAGATTAACTAAGAATATGAATACATCAACCCACTCTTAACCCCATGATTTGCCTCTCAAAATGTGTGAAATTGTGTTTTTAAAGGCTTGAAAATCCAAAATTTGCTAAAAGTTTCAAAAGATCAAATCCAAACGTTTTACATTTAAACATCTAACTACCAACACTACTGATAAACTTTCTCATGAAGTAGTCATCCACAGAATCATTCTAAGGCCTCAACATATCACAACCATTATAGTTAGTGTATGTACTTGTACATACCAGTATGGACATGAGTTCTTCCAGGTATTCCAGTATGATAGACTGGTCCTCATACAGATGCCAGCTCCTCTGTTGTGAGTCATCCTTCACACTGCTCATCTCACTAAAGATAACCTCCAGACGTTCACTGTCCTGGCTACCATCACCCGACTTCACTGTGTGTAACTGACATAGATAGAAGACAATAAGGCCACATTCATTTTATTTTTAGTTAACGGATTCGCCCACTTCATTTTTTTCTGATTTGACAAAAAAAAATTCAGAATCAACTGCAAAATGCTTATATTTTGCCCTGAACAGTTGAAAACAGTCCTTTTCTTCCTAGTTGTTACAGTTATTCCATCTTTCAATGCAGTGGTATCATTAAAAGTTCAAAATTCATTGTTTAAATTTTGAACCAGCCTGGAGTGTTGACTTCATGGCTCCTATCGTACCATTTTGGGCCATGATAGGATACCTAGGCCTGTTTTTACTTTTATTTTTTTTACGCCCTCCCGCTCCATTATTTATCTAGGAAAATCTGTTAACCAAGAAATTAAATTGGGGTGGCCTTATGTCTATCTTCACAAACTCTAGACTGCTCTGACTCTGTTTATATTCATGAGTTAAGCACATTGATACATAATATACATTGTATATGGTAACCAGCTCTTCAACTCAAAGCCCTGCTAGAATATTTTTTCCCTGAGTAAATCAGTCCATAATGTAACTCAACACCACAGGGTGTCTGCTACAGAACCAGCTACCATGGTGACAGACGTCTGGTCCAGGTCATTGACCTAATTTGTTTGGAGAAGAATAGGAAGAGGAGGAGAAATAGCAAAAAGAATATGTTTTCCTTTTGCAAATTTAAACCAAGGAGGTTGACTTTTAACCTTGATGATACAATGTACCAATGATATTACATTTCTATACCAAATGAAATCTGTGTGAATCTTACCTTACTTGAGTTGACCTGTCTCATAATATCCTCCATTGCCCTCTCTAGTCCAGGCACCTTGTCCTTTATGTGGTTTAAGATGGAGGAGACAGCTGTTCTTGACTTCTGGAAGCTCACGTCTGTATTTACTCGGACCAGTTCTACAAGTTCTGAACCCATGTTTTCTGGTATATTATAGGTTTCCTGGGAACTTTTGTCCTTCAGAGGGTAACGTTCAGTCTGTGAGGAGGTGTCTGCTGTTGCCACCTTTGCTGAAGTGTCCTGGTATATCTCAAATTTCTGCATGTGAGCTGTTGATGTGAGGAATGCATAATAAAAGGATTATCCTATAAGGCCACACCAATTTAATTTCTTGGCTAATGGATTTTTCTAGAAAAATAATGGAGAGGGTGGGCGAAAAAAAATAAAAATAAAAACAGGCCTAGGCATCCTATTATGGCCCAAAATAGTACAATAGGAGCCATGAAGTCAACACACCAGGCTGGTTCAAAATTTAAACAATGAACTTTGAACTTTTAATGATACCACTGCATTGAAAGATGGAATAACTGTAACAACTAGGAAGAAAAGGACTGTTTTCAACTGTTCAGGGCAAAATATGTCATTGAGCATTTTGAAGTTGATTCTGAATTTTTTCTTTTTTTTTGCAAATCAGAAAATAATGAAGCGGGCGAATCCGTTAACCAAGAAATTAGATTGGTGTGGCCTAAGGTGTATACAATAAATTTCTAGCAGGGCTGTAGCCAGCTCATTTTTTTTTCTGTCAGCCCAGGTTTATGATTGGACCTGGGAAGAGTGCTTACATTCTAGGGGTGTCCAAGGACAAATTCTGCATTTTCAAGCCTTTAACAACTGAATTTCCCACAGTTTGAGAGGTAAATCATGGTGTTGAGAGTGGTTGTTGGTGGTCCTTTGAACGTTTTTATAATCCTACCTAAGATCTTTGTCAATATTGTGCCCATCAAGGTTGACAGATTTGTTAAATAACATTATCCCATCACACGCTGCAAAGCTCCTGCAATTGACGGAAAAACTGGTGCTGGCTAGAGCATATTTTAAGAATGCTCCCGTTTTTACAACTGTACAAATTCCTGCCAAATGTCCAGGACTACAGTACATCAAATGTTCTACTTGTGTATCAACCAAACAACAAATATGTACAATATATATATATAGAATACAACACCGCTCGAGTTATTGGGCCAAGCCATCGGGCGATCCGAATTGCGGGAAGGCCGGGACCGAGGGCGATGCGGAATACACCGTGTTGTATTTTATTTATGTCATACCCACCCAAGAAAACACGCCTTTCAATGCAAGATGAGCCAAAAGTTGATGCCCCTAAACCCTAAAATGCAACAACATCAATTCCAACGTCCGTACTTCTGTACTCAAATTTTCAAAAGAGGCGCACGCAGTTATATATATGAGGGCAAAACACATTCGAATCACTCTATGGAAGCCATGGAAGCCCGGGCTGTACCGTTCCGGAACCCATTATCAAACGTTATTGCAGCCCGGGTATGATATAAATTGTTGGTATAGGCTATATAGTGATGTCAACACTAGTCAGTATAAGTGGTAGCATGATACTAGTATACATGTATTACCGGGTCTCTGTATGCTAGAAGTGTCAGGTGCCTGCATACATGCTTCACTGCTGACTGTCCTCTGTGGTGGCACAGTGACTTGGTTTGGGGCCGGTGGTGCCCTGTGGCTTTTTGTGGACCGACGTCTTGTTGGGGAATCTGCAACAATTATTTGTCAGTACGATCAATCTTTCGTATTTGCATACTGTTTACCTTCACATGGTCTAGCCTAACAAACTTCTTAATATGCTTATTGTAATAGTTACGCAAACACATTCATTATATGGTGAGCAGCCGCTCCAACTCTGTTTTGCTACATAATGTAACCCAACACCACAGGGTGTCTGCTACATGTATAGCAGCATGTAGCCGCGCCGCGTGCCTGCAAAGCTGGTGTGTTACACCGAAAGGCGGTTATACTGGCAATACAGATACAGTTACCACTAATTACCATACCTAGATACCATGGACTACGGAGGATGGCACCCAGGCCAGAGCCTCAGAGGTAATTATTATTATTATTTTTAAATCAGGTGAAAATCAATGTGCGCATGGATGTCATCCATAAAATCAAATCAGTGTTGCCTAACTACAATTTCCATATCTCACCTGGTACCCTGGAGACTGGAGCCTTGGGTGCAGGGCGGCCTGGCTGGGAGGGAATCCCCACACTCTGCTGGTGTACATAATCCTGGCTCTGTTTATCTATGGTGGCTTTCCTGTGAGCTATCAGCTTCCTGTCACAAAAAATTTTGTACACAACATTATCACCATTTATATGTCATTGTAGATAAATATGGACAGGAAGGACGTCTAAATTGAACACTTAATTCTCAGTTTTTAGACCTTCGTACTTGTCATTATTCCACCAAAACTTCTTTGTAGTACAGATTACATTTAGTCAGTAGCTAGATGGGATATCCTACACATGCATATAGAACTGTGGTACACTTCTAGTTCTATGTACAATTTGTATATTATTGATGATGATGTCAGGGGTGTCATACCCTCCACACCATGTTAAATTTTCGATAACCAAATAAACTTGTGTCTGCGGAGCTTCTTCTGAATCTTTTAATCTTTAGTTTTTCGTAATACTTAACGACACTGTTTAGCTATTGTATATTAGCTATTTTTGTATTTTGATATAATTTTGCTTGTATCTAACTGTTGTGTGTAAATTAATGTTCTGTAACGTGTGGAGAACAGAATCAGCTGAATTTGCTGCCTAGTGCTCCATGTGTATTGCCGTTGCAAAGAAAGAAGAAGGGAAGAAAGAAGGAAAGTGAAAGAAAGGAAGGAAGGAAGAAAGAAACTGATCCTGCACATGACTTACTGTAAGACTTCTCTATGCTGTGCTGTGTATGTTCCACCATTGTTCATGGCAGCCATGTGAACTTGTTCAATCCCTCTGTCAATGGACCGGATGATGTCCCCAGATTCAGCACTCTGCACAATGAGAAAAAGGGCAGAAGATTGATGAACCAATCAGAGAAGGTGGTAACCTGGATCAATCATGCACTGGGCTGATTTAATTAGTATTGACCAATGGGCAAGAATTTGAGTAAAACCAAGTTAGGAGGAAATCCAATAAGACAATTTTACTGTAATTTTAGCAAGTATAACAGCATTCTCAAAAGAATGTTATCTTTAGTTATTCATGTTGGATCTGTACAAAGTATTTGAAAAATGTGTAAAATGCAATTCATTGATATCTTATCTCTGTTAAATATTACTAGTATGTTGTTGTTATTGGATTTCCCATGTAGATTGACCAAAATAACACCAAACCATGGCTTTTTATATTCTAATATCTAACTAACTTATTGTTCATGAATGTTACAAATGTAAAATAATGCCACTGACCACAAAATATGACATGACACTAGTAGATATATAGGTGGGCGTGTCTACAGGTGGGCGTGGCATATCAAATCTTGTGATCTTGTCATATAGTTTCTTACAATAGTCTTATTATATTGATCACATTGTCACTGTTGACATACATTGTACCATGTACAGCAATAAAGTTCAAAACAAATTCATTCATTTATTTAAGGATTTGGGACTTGACCATGGTCAAAGGAAGGATGCCATATAACAACAGGGCTCGAAATTCATTTTTGTTGGGAATATAGGTGCACAAAAAATTTTTGGGTGCACCATATAAAACAAAACCTAATTACACATCTTACCGCTGCTTTTCTTAAAAGCTGAATCGGATTTTATGTAAGCAAACTTCAAAATCTTCAGCAAGCACTACAACAAAGATTTTATTATTTTGTCTGACACTTAGATGCCAAGTCCTGTATACAATTATACATTTAATATGTGCAAAAATACTTATTACAATGTGTAAAAAAAATTGGGTGCACTGGTGCACTCACAGAAAAAAAAAAACTTGGGTGCACCATGGAGGTAAAAAGTCTCTTTTTACCTCCATGGGTGCACAGCTCCAATTTTGGGTGCACCACCCAATATTTCGACTTCGAGCCCTGAAATATATACTAGTAACCGCCATAGCCAACTAGTACTCTGTAAAACCACATGCCAGTGCCACACTCCTTATCGTACCCCGGCCTGACCCACCTCGTCTTTCTCCATGTAGTTGTACGGGACGTACCCGACCCTCCCGGCGTCGTCTGTCACCTCCCACCAGTGCGCATCGCTCCGGTCCAGCAGCGTGAACCTCTGACCCACTCGGAACGAAAGCGCCGTCGCGTCATCCGCTTTGAAATCGTACAACGCCCGATACATACCGGCTATTGCCCCTTTTGAGAGACTACTGTGGCGTTAGAAACCTAAATGAATCAAAGAAAACCAAAAGAAACCGAAGTTCTATTTTGTTGATACCGCCATTTTGAATTGCCCGACTGCGCGCTGCATGATGGGATTAAAAAAATCACAGCCACGAAGTGCACTATGGGATTGAAATTGGCGCTAAATTTTCAAGATGGCGGAGGGGAGACGAAAAATTTTCCGTTTGGAGGATATTTTGGGTTTCTAGCGTTGAAATTTCTTCCCAAAGCGCATATGGTAAGCTCTAAATTATGATGTCTGAGGTTGGTATCACCGATCTGTTCAACCAGCTATGCAAGAGTCACTACAAAGTGGACCCCAGACAGCCTAGAATCGTGCGGCCGAAGCTGTCAAAACAGAAAATCGCTTCTCGACTGAGGAACACCCTCTACAACACACTGTTCGAAGACACACTGGCCAGAAGAAATGGGTTGGCTTCTGCTGAAGAAGGACGCACGGAGAAGCAGGGAAAGTTGTCCGAGAAGGAGAGACTGTTGGTGTTCGCCTACGAACTCAGGCTGGAGCGAAGATTCGATGATGCAGCCAGACTGGAACACTTGGTGGACAAGTTGTATTCAGAAACTGGTAAAGACTCAAGTTTCATGCGTCGAAAAAAAATTCTATGTAACGTTACTTGATTTTATCAAGGATGTTAAAGTCATGATTTCTAACCTCCTTGGTTTTATCAGATACATGTGGTATGTATATATGTTATTCCTGCCATAATGAAAAAAAAATGATGCGATTGTGTGTGTCACCTGAAATTTTAATAAAAATATCATAAGGCCACAGCAAGTAAATTTTTATGGATGACATCCTCCGCAGACTCCAAATCTAATGCAAGCAAGCAAAAAAAATAACAAGGCGGGCCAAGAAAACAAGGTTCCTACATTTTATAATTTTGACTCATTTGAATCATGGTACAAATGGTTTTCATTCAGTGGGAACACATGACATATTCATATACACAGCCGCAGCCAGCATCACATAACATTATATGTATCACTGCATCAAAGTAAGAAACAAAACATTTAAGTAGAGTCTTTTCTTGTCTCCTCTCTTCACAGACATCTTTGCCAATTTCGGCATGTTGAGTTGACCACTGTCAGAAGGCAAAAAATTTTTTTTCTTCAAAATCAGCCGAAAATTAATGCGTGCTGATGTCATCCATAAATATTACTTGCTGTGGCCTAATTGTAAATCAAAATACACATAAATAACTTAACATGTAACATGGTACAATGAATATTAATAATGATCATCAACTAAAGATTGTTTCATTGATCAAAAATTCCCTGGCCAGTACCCATGCAATATTAACTAAATTTAATATATATTTATGAATTAAAAAAATTATTGGCTGGCAAGGCTAAATTATGACAAGTTTGTGTATTTTTATATAATATATTTTAATTTTATCATATGTCTTCATTATAGATCCAGATGCAGATGTTAAGTCGGTGCTGCATTTGTTTCTGGGATTGGCCAGATCAGGGAGTCAGCCAGACATGCCTCCTATTGGTTACCGTGACCTGCAGCTACCAATGAAAAACCTGAAACAAAGTGAGGTAAGTCAAACCTGTCTAAGAGGACCACCCAGGGGACGAAGGTCTGCTTAGGCAAGTGGTCTTCTTAAACAAAAAGCATGATGACAAGACAGAGCAGACAACAAGAAACCAGTGCAGCAATTAAAAGTCACCCAGTCAGTGCCATTTTACATTGCGCAAAGACTTAGTGTCACTAATAGTGGAAAGCAGTGGCAACCCAGCCAATTCCATCAAGATTTCTCTAGTTAGGCCCTGTTGATTTGATTATATGGATGACATTTGCATGTGCATTAATTTTTGTCCATTTCCAAAAAATAAAAAGTTTTCAACCATACTGTAAATTGTACAAAATGAGCAAGTATATACATGCATGCATATGTGGCAAAAAAAAGTATTGGAAAATGATACTAATAGTAATATAGAATTCCGAAATCAATTAAGGCCACACCAATTTAATTTGTTGGTTCTCTGATTTTTTCAGGAAAAATATGAAGCGACAGGGCGAAAAAAAATAAAAACAGATCTAGACATCCTATTATAGCCCCAAATGCTACGATAGGAGGTATGAAGTCAACACAAAAGGCTGGTTCAAAATTTAAACAATGAATTTTGAACTTCTAATGATACCACTGCATTGAAAGATGGAATAACTGTAACGACTAGGAAGAAAAGGACTGTTTTCAACTGTTCAGGGCAAAATATGAGCATTTTGCAGTTGATTCTGAATTTTTTTTTTTTGCAAATCAGGAAAAAATGAAGAGGCGAATCCGAGAACCAATAAATTAAATTGGTGTGGGCTAAGGAAAAGAAGAAAATATGAAGAAATGAAAATGAAGAGTCTATTATTATTCGCCATACTAAACGCTGTGTATTTGGTCATTTGTTTAACCTTCATGACCAAAAATTTTTTTTCCAAACTTTTCTTTATTCATGCGCTCGCGCCAGTTTTGGGGTTCCCTGCTGGGGATGTCATCCATATAATCAAATCAACATGGCCTTATCATCAAAAACTTTTTCTACCACACACTTAAAAATTACCTGATTATGAAAAGATTGGGCCATTTGTGGACCCAAATATTGCAGGTCCACAGACGTTTAGAATTTTACAATCTTATGACTTAAGTGACCTCCTTATTAAATTATTCTTTTTTTTCAGGTGAATGGTTGGATTTGCCCCTGTGGTCCTGTGTTCTATGGAGACAGCAAGTTTGTTGACGACAGTTTCCACGGCTACATGCAGTATGACAGGCAAGTTCTGCGGAGATATTGTTCCACTGTTCCCTCTATATTATGCAAGAACGAAACCACTGCAGCAGTCATTCCTTTATTTATGTATGTAGTCCGTTAGACTTTACAACAATTCACCGTCCGGGTATTCAATCTACACTGTACCTTGCATAATTTTGACCTGAAGCAACATTGTTTATATTTTGATAACTGTGTACATGTATGTATCTTTGTATATACTTTATTTTAGATGTACTGTTTCTTAATATACATGTAGATGTGTAAAACTGTGACAAACTGTACCCAATTCAGGGGGATGATGTTGTACTCCCCCTGCTGATGTATGGAAAGGGATACGGGATAGGAATGAGCAATAAAGTGATTTATTAAATCAAGACCTCCTTGATAAAAAATACATCTTTTGGCACACATAAAACAGTGCGCCAAGCATTATATACCTTACATGATGTGTCATAAACTGTTTAACTGGTTCTTGCTTTAAAAAGTTTATGATTCCAGTTATGATAGTATGAGTACAATCTTGTTTTGTCATAAGACTGTCTACTCATGGTTCTTCTTAAATCTTCCAGGAGTCTATTTGAACATGGATTACCAGCATCTATGATAGCTATGTACTCCACTGGTCAGCCACAGCCTGGTTTGTCTTGGAAGGTAATACTTATAGTTCCAAACAAGTTATGCTTTCTCTGACATCTTTAGGTGTTTACATGAAAGCTTGTACATGTTTAAGAGCTTTTAACCAATGAGAGAATGGCAATTAGCAGTTCAACCAATGAGAGGATGTTAATTCACAGATCAACCAATGAGAGGATGGCAGCAGTTTAACCAATTAGAGAATGGCAATTAGCAGTTCGACCAATAAGAAAATGGTAATTAGCATACACTACTAAAAGAAAAGTTACCTATATGATATCTATAATGAACTAACAGTCAACCCATTTTATTTCCTAGCTGTTTGAGGCACTCCCTGGGCAAGATCTGTTAGGAAATGGATTATTCCAGCTTAAGGTAAGGGGATCATTCTAATATCCTTCCCAAATGGATTTCAAAGATTATAATAATTAGAAGTGAAGGACTTTGTTGGACATTTTTTTTACATGTCAGGGCCGGAAATACCTTTTTTCTGCCTTTTTGTTTGGACTCCTGCAAGGGACATAAATTTTTTGAGCTGATCAACCTTTTCTAGCTTCATGATCTGACACCTCAGTGATGAAACATTGTAGAATCGGTTTTCCAACATTGAAATTGAAAATATAAGTGTCCTCAAGTAAGTTATGTAACTGTATTTCATGTACATAAGTAGTTGGGTCACTAGAGATCGCCAAAGTCTGAACAAAAAGCAACAAAACAAAAGATCATCCCTACCTACTGACCCTGATTTTTGCAGGACTGAAACAGGAAACACAACATTTTTTTTTTCCTAGGCTTAAGAAAGGTTTTCTTATTCCTGTTGTTTGACAGGGCATGAAGAATGACCAGTATGAGAGACAGACCAACAGCACACTGTACGGTGCCCTGGTCCACAGTCACACCCGCAGCATAGACATCAAACTGGGCCTGCCTGAACTGCCTGATGAGACTGACACTCAGTAAGATCTGTGTTTCTCTCACAACTGTCACAATTTTCCACTCATTTCTTATGAATATGTAACCAACCATAATGGTTTTCAATAAACATGCACTTGCATGCTTATTTTACTATAATAATTTTGCCATTTTATTTTACAGGGCTCTAGGACTCAAGATCTATCCATACACAGAGGTAAGAATATGATGTACAACTTATTACTACAAAAAAATGTTACTAAAAATTACCTGCACCAGACAAATTTTGTATGTACCACAGACTGACCACTCAGAATTCAGGAAGTATGGATCGTACTAAAACAGTTGGGAAACTATTTACATTATTTCTTTTCTACTTCAGGTGGTAACAGTCAATGTAGCAAATAAAAATCCACAAACATCTACATGTATATATGAACCCTGGACCAGTGCAGGTAGACATCAGAAATACCTGCACAGCTCCAATTTTACCTGCACTAACCTGCATATACCCAGTACATTGACCAGTGCAGGTGAGGTGCAGGTAGACATCAGAAATACCTGCACAGCTCCAATTTTACCTGCACTAACCTGCATATACCCAGTACATGGACCAGTGCAGGTTAGGTGCAGGTAGACATCAGAAATACCTGCACAGTTCCAATTTTACCTGCACCAACCTGTATGTATATACCCAGTACATGGACCAGTGCAGGTTAGGTGCAGGTAGACATCAGAAATACTGACACAGCTCCAATTTTACCTGCCCTAACCTGCATATACCCAGTACATGGAACCGTACAGGTTAGGTGCAGGTAGACATCAGAAATACTGACACAGCTCCAATTTTACCTGCACTAAGTTGCATATGCAGGTTGTACTGTACAGTGAATATCTCTTAATATTAATGCGGTACTTTTATTTACACAGTCACTTCTGTACTGCAAACTTGTCATTACCGTGAACCAACAAATTTGCCGACTTTCTTCCTTCTGATATACATTTGTAGTTCTGCAAACATGGCAAATTTTGCTACCGTAAATATACATGTAACTTGATTTACAGTATTCATAGCCCTGCTGAATGTCATTTTGTCTACATGTATGTCCCACCCTTCTGCAGGTGTCAGAAGATGAGGGTTTCACGGAGCCGTCAGACACAGACTCCAGCCTGACCACCCCCAGTCCTGACATGCTGATAGAGGAGGATATCTGGGAGCAGGCTCTGACTTACAAACCCAGTCAACACAGGACATGGGAAACTATCGGATGGTTGGTCCTTTTGTTTTTGTTGTTGGGAAGGCTGGCTACTCTCTCCTTGCAATCAACTGTGCCCGGTATCACATAAACACACTTACATCTAACCAGATATGCTACTAGGAACACCTTCAAACTAGACAAACCAAAAACAAACAGCACTAAAAAGCTTTCACATACAGAACTACTGCAGCATGGAACTCTCTATCCCATTGGTTACAAACAGTGTCATCACATGAGAAGTTCAAACAAGACTTACTGAAGCACATGAGGGACATGAATAAGTAAAGCACGTATGACACATGTTACACACTTGTTTTCTTTTAAATAACTATGTAATGTAAATGTATATGTAATTGTATGTTGATGCTATGTTTTATGTACTCTCTCCTGGAAGAATAGCTGTCACCCTTAGGTGGGCAGCTAAAGGAGAGTTTTCCTCAGTAAACCTCAATAAACCTCAAGGGCTGAATTGTGATGAGCTTACAATTATTGGGGCTGAATTGCAAGGGTCTGGAGCGGCTGCCATTGGGCACTACTTAACTCAGGACTGACCTCAATATGACTCCAGGCGCGGCCATAGAACTGTAAGGTTTGAACCACTCACACCGCGAAGGTCCCCTACTCTTCTCAATAAGTGTGGTGGGTTATTCATGTACTATGTAAGTGAAACTTATTTCAGCCTGATGGCTGCAATGTTTTACCTAATAAACCAGTCATTTATTTTTATTTATTTATTAAACGTGTGTGGGGTGTGGCTCTCCCAAACACGGGACCGCCATTTCATGTTCTACTAGTATTTGAGGGACGTCCCTAGCTGAAGCTAGGTACTCATTTACATCTGTGTCAAGTGAGGAAAGTCGTGTAAAGTGCCTTTCCCAAAGGCACAAGATCGGTGACATCGGGCAAGATTCGAACCCGGGACCTCTTGGGTCTGCGCAGAACACTGTTACGCCATATGACCCCTACAATATGCCAAAAAGCAGTTACTCAAGCAACTGGATATGATTTTGGAAACGGTCAGACGTTTCAGGTAGTATCCACTACGTTTCGTCAGTGACTGAGAGACCAGAGGAGAAATGCCGGTTTAGAAGCACAAACTACAATGTTTAAAACTATAGTCCCTCAATCGGCCAGTACACCTTTACGTTTCAAACAAATATACAAACAAGACTGCCTGCCAATTGTACATTGATATGCAAATTTTCCTTATTTCACTTATTATTTATTTTGATTTCTGTATGATTGATTTGATATTATTTGATGTATGCCTATTTTGGACCAATAATTCTTCTGTTACTTAAGAGCAGTTGTCTGTAAAAACCAAGCATAAGGTGGCCAAACTAAAAAAATCAAATTCTCTTAAATTTTGTGTGGTGGTAGGGACTTGGTCCAAACTTACAAAAATGGGTAAGTTTTGGTTCGCTGGTTGATGGTTGCCATGGCAACAGCCATTTTTCAAAATGGCGGATTTTTACCTTGTGGAGGCATAAGTCTTGCCCAAAATGGACCATCTTTTACCTTCCGTATCTCACAGAAAGTAACACATATCTCATTGCTTCTAACATATTTTATGATCCATATTGTAACTAAGAAAATGATATGAAGTTTTGCTCGAAATGTGTTTGTGGTGAGCTGTAGCAGACGTTTAAAAATGGCGTGTTTTTGTAAAATTTCAAAATTGAGAAAAAGCCATTTTTAGGACGTTTTTAGTGAACCATGGCCGCTTAAAAGGCAGATAGAATTAGTTGATTTTTGGCACAGTTATGGCTATAATCTTTGTCTACATCATATCAGAAAATATCTTTGGGGTCTTTATGGGGGGGAGTACAGTGACCCCTAGACTAAACCATTATTTCCATTGTGAAAGAATCCCAACCGCTGCATTATAAGTGAAAAAAGCATCCACAGCATGGCAATACAGTAAAGAAAACGAAATCTAAAGCTTTTTTCAAGTGCTAAGGAAAATTACCTCGCACTTACAAAAGTTGTTTCCTTCTGGGCTGACAACGGGTTACCATGGCAACAGTTATATGGGGAGGGGGGCGGTGTTTTGAGGCCCACGGCCACTTTCTTGTTGTATAATGTCTGAAAAGTTTAAACTAGAACCACCAAACTTGGTAAATTTTCCTCAAATAAATTTTGCAATAATTTGATATTCATACTTTCATGTTGCCATGGCAACGGGTTGCTGACAGGCATATTTTGCCAAATTCAGCAATTTCAGTACAAGAATAAAATTTCAATTTTTTTTGTTTTAAAATTTTTCCTCTTATCAAACATTCATGACATTACTGTAAGTTCATATAATATTTATGATTACAAATTTATAATTTATGTTAATTAGATGACGTCATTGGTCAAAGTCTAAGATGGTGGACTATAACTCGGATTTTTTTAATCATGGGGCAAGGAAAGGTACCTTGGACAAAGGAAGTAGATTCTTGCTGGATTGACAAAGAGTTGCCAAAGGTAACTCTTCTTTTTTAAATGGCACTTATCATTTCTATTTATATATATATATAATGTTGTTGTGGCATTCACATAGACCAACAGTATCCCTATGGCAGAACAATGCTGTCTGTTACCACTGTGGTAATAATGCTGTTGCAAACATCCTGACAAAATGTGGAATTTCAATCAAAAAGGTAGATTTCTAGAACTGGGATAAGCAGAAAACATAGGCACAGGGTGATTGATGTGATTGATGATGAGGCTACATCATCAAATGTAAAGAAAGATTTGCTAGATATTTTTGATTTACTACTCTACCAACGGGTTCAGCATTGAAGGGTGCCAGGAGGACAATAATTGTACCATACCAACCAGTGGCCTACCACCCAGGGACCCGAAAGGATCAACCCTGAACCCCGCCAAGGATCCAAAAGCTGCCCGGCCAGATTGTAAGAGCCGGTCGGCACCCTACCGCATCCCGCATGGGTCAAGACAGGAGACTGAACGGGCACCGGACTGGTCCCTAACAGAAACCGTCAAAGGGACCAAAAGTTTGTGAATTTTAAATAGAAGCCGTCTTAGCGCCCCGACAGGGAGCCGTATTAAGGAACATTTGATTGTGACCCTGACAGTCTGCGCACGCTCGGCTTCATGACGCCGGCCGGCGTCAACACCGGGAACATGCCGAGCATGTGACTCCAGCTTAAGTAGGGTTCATGCATGCAGCATCAAAAATGAAAGAAAAATTCGTTTAATGATAGAAATTATATGAAATTACATATGCCATAAATTCCAAATAAGAGGTGCAATTTTACTAGAAAAAAATGGAAATTTCATTTCTTAAACTGCATGAAATTACGGAATTTTGTTTGTCAGCAACCCGTTGCCTTGGCAACATAAAAATATTGATTTTCATCTTTAAAATGAAATTATTGCCCAAGTTATTTAAGGAAAAGTCACCAGGTTTGGTGGTTCTAGCTGAAAATTGCTAGACATTATACAATAAGAAAGTGGCCTCGGGCATTGAAACACCGACCCCCTCTCCATATGACTGTTACCATGGTAACCCGTTGTCAGTCCAGACGGAATGAACTTTTGTTACTGCAAGGTGGGTTTACTTACCACTTGAAGACAGCTTTAGTTTTCGTTTTCTATGCTTTAAAAAAGTTTTGAGAGTTTTAGCGTTTTAAGAGAAAAAAAACGTAATGTCAGAGTTACTGATGGTCCACTATCTTGTCCAATGACGTCTCTAATTAACATAAATCATACATGTGTAAACAAAGAATTTACATAAACTTAGAGGAATGTCATGGATGTTTGATAAGGGGGAAAATTTTAAAACAAAAAAAATGGAAATTTCATTGCTATAGTGATATTACTGAATTCGGCAAAAAATGCCTGTCAGCAACCAGTTGCCATGGCAACATGACCATGGCAACATGAAAGTATGAATATCAAATTATTGCAAAATTTATTTGAGGAAAATTTACCAAGTTTGGTGGTTCTAGTTTAAACTTTTCAGGCATTATACAACAAGAAAGTGGCCGTGGGCCTCAAAACACCGACCCCCTCCCCATATAACTGTTGCCATGGTAACCCGTTGTCAGCCCAGAAGGAAACAACTTTTGTAAGTGCGAGGTAGTTTTCCTTAGCACTTGAAAAAAGCTTTTAGATTTCGTTTCTTTACTGTATTGCCATGCTGTGGATGCTTTTTTCACTTATAATGCAGCGGTTGGGATTCTTTCACAATGGAAATAATGGTTTAGTCTAGGGGTCACTGTACTCCCCCCCATGAAGACCCCAAAGATATTTTCTGATATGTTGTAGACAAAGGTTATAGCCATAACTGTGTCAAAAATCAACTAATTCTATCTGCCTTTTAAGCGGCCATGGTTCACTAAAAACGTCCTAAAAATGGCTTTTTCTCAATTTTGAAATTTTACAAAAACACGCCATTTTTAAACGTCTGCTACAGCTCACCACAAACACATTTCGAGCAAAACTTCATATCATTTTCTTAGTTACAATATGGATCATAAAATATGTTAGAAGCAATGAGATATGTGTTACTTTCTGTGAGATACGGAAGGTAAAAGATGGTCCATTTTGGGCAAGACTTATGCCTCCACAAGGTAAAAATCCGCCATTTTGAAAAATGGCTGTTGCCATGGCAACCATCAACCAGCGAACCAAAACTTACCCATTTTTGTAAGTTTGGACCAAGTCCCTACCACCACACAAAATTTAAAAGAATTTGATTTTTTGAGTTTGGCCACCTTATGCTTGGTTTTTACAGACAACTGCTCTTAATATGCAGTAAAGCAGTCAGTTGACAACTACTTCCATAACACAAGGAACATGCTTGGTGTACAGTCTACCACTTTTTTCATCGTATCAGCTTCATGTTGGCTCAAATTTACAGTCAACATTTTGGCGCACCAATTCACCACTAATTTCTACCCCCACTTGGTTGACTTAGCCGGTATCTTTATATGCCTGACAGTATCTGCAGTTTATTTTCGTAACAGTGACGGGGTTGCTTGTCGTTTTGACGTATCATTTACCGATAACTTTTTAACCACAGCGACAACCATGGTCCGGGAGGGTTCACCTTTTTAGTATACAGTTCATTGCCAATTTCTTTGTTTATTGGTTAACTAGCAGATCAGTTGATTTTTCACTACTCATTCCGCCCTCCATTTTTTAACTCGCACAGGTAACAGCCAAAATCGAATAAACCGTCACCATTTTGCCTTAAAATTTACAGATAATTTCTTATCTATGCCGACAACAGGTCATTTTAGGTCAGTTCAGACCCTTTTGTCCTAAAAGTTGATTTCTGTTTAATAAGTTATTTTAGGTAGCAGATCACAGGTAAAACTGTTGAACTGTTTGTCTGCGAGTAATGAAGCATGAACTTAATATCTATAGTGCTGAATAGAGATTCCTGGAAGTAATTATGGTTCCTGGAAGGGGCGCGCCGTCCGCCATCCTTGACATTAATGTGAACAAAAGGACCAAGGGTACAATCGGTGTTCAGGT